GACGCGGTCAAAATCCCCATACATTCTCTGTAAATTGCACGGCTTCTCATTAATTGAAACGTTTTTAATTTCATAACACTATCTATATATTTTCATCCTTGTACATAATAATAATATTTTAAGCGAAATATGACCACAATTGAATATTTGTCCAAATGATCTGTAGCTTGGAACCTACACTAAAGTCGATAAAGTCTTTTTAGTGATGTGGTTAGTTTTTCAATTGGCTCAATATGACAGAAATTACAATTCATTTCATAACATAAAAATGGCTAATAGACTTAAAATACTAACAAAGTTATGGAGGAATGAAAATACAAGGATTTGTATGAAATTCTTTACTGAGGCCTTGGTGGCCTCGTTTTGGTGTTTTTTTGCATCTTTTAGCCCTTATAACTTCCAGAGGATTTAATTTGTTCTTTGAAACTTTCAGAGCTTATCTTTAGCTTTGATATCTATCATCTGAGTGTTTTCTTTTGTCAACATTATGAATTTAACAATAATATGCTAATTATTGTCAGCCATTGTGAAAGTCGTGAATATTGCTCATGGTTATAAAGAAAGAGAGTGCGTGTTTTATCGGGATATAATTATATAGATTCAAGCTGCAGGCGAGAATTTATATACCCGCGATATAACACACACTCGAATTCTTTAAACAACACTTATAACCATGAGCAGTATTCACGACTTTCTCAATGGCTTCTAGAACTCCAGCATATAGAAATAGTTATCATTATAGAAAAAAGCTAAAAAATGCGAAAAAAGGGATAATGCAATTAAACTTCTAATGAGCATGTGCATTGTGCCACAATTGAAAGATTTTTTTATCCCAAACGGAAGAATGGCTAGTCTATACTAAAGTACATGTCTGGACATTGATTCAAACAGTTTTAAACCTAGCAAAGGTCTATGATTGGGACATTAAAACTGAGACCTTTGCTAGTTGGGTTGCGATAAAATGCTGATGGTTCAACTTGAACATCAGTTCTTTATATCTGATATAGAACTGATAAATAAAACATCAGTGCTTTATCGGGATATAAAGATCAATCATGTAACCAATAGTTAAATGCTCATTGGATTTATAGCTCATGAATTATTAATGAGTTGTAGAACAATGTTTACAAATGGACAGTCTCCTCTTGAAACTGTTATTTGAAACTGTTATCAGTCACTAGAGTCAAGATGGTACTGCCTTAAAAATACTCTTCTGTGCATTTGTGGAAGATTAGCTCACAGATGAATTTTACCCCAAAAATCTTTTCTGTGGTATTGCTTGATAGACCAGTCCCATATTTGCTTGGATGGAACAACGGCTTTGACAAAAAATAATACTCCAGCCTCAAAAGCCATTGTTTCATTTTCATCCAAGCAAATGTGAGATTGGTCTATTATTTAATTCATGTCACATCAATAATTGTAGTGATTAATAAGATTTTAGCAGTCACTTCCTCATGTTAATATTTTTTGTTATTTAGAAGTTTTTGATGATGTCCCAACATCCCCTCCATATAGTGTGCAAGAAACAACAAAAGGTGAGAAATGCATTCTCTACGATTTAAGTTTTCAAAGAGGCTTTCCAGATTATGGAATCAATTTGGGAATCTGATCGTTTATTTGTGAACTCCGATTTGGCTTGTGGCTAGGTACTAGCTGTAATATTTAACTTAGCTACACAAATATAAACACTTTCTATATTTTTAAGCTGCAGAACACATTCTTAAAGATCACTTGAGAAACTTTGGATTACCTAAACGAATTACAGGAATAATTGGGCGTGAAGAAAATAAGGCAGAATTACTTGAACAGATTCTGCATCCTGAAAATCATTTGATTGTACTTCATGCTGCTACAGGATATGGCAAGGAAACGTTAGCAGTTGCAACAGCCTATGAACTCATTGACAAACATGATTTCACGTGCATATATGTAGATTCCGATGGTATCCTTTCCGTTGAAGACCTCGCTATTACAATTTTGACAACTTGTGGAATTCCAGCTCCTTCAGTTGGTGAAAAGGAAAAATTACAGGAGCTCTTAAAAATCGTCACGAGAAAATGTCTTCTTATTCTGGATAACTTAGATCACGCATTTCATGCTGACGACAAGAGAAGAGACAGCATGGACAAGAGCATAAGGACGACATACAAGCCCAGCTTTTCTGGAAATTCAACCGCGTCTTCCAATATTTCTGAATCATCTGCCGCTGCTTTTGCCAGTTCATCTGCCAACTTACCTGGAATTCCCACCAGCATTTCATTTGCGCCATACAGAAGTGGCATTGTTCACTCGATAAGTCATGACAGTTTCACTGCAAATACCAGTCACTGCACTAGCAGCAACTCAAAGCAGTTTCAGGACTTTCAGCAAATGGACAGAAAGGAGGAATATCAGAAGTTTATCGAAGATTTATTGAAGTATTCCACTAGTTGGACAATTCTTGCTACAACCTGGGAGTCTTTCTCTACTGCTGTTAACACCCAAGAGTTTGAATTGCCGCCACTGACGCGTTCCCATTCAGAAGAACTCTTTTTAAGTAGGTGCGAATTGGCACATAGAATCGACAGGTCCAATATTCCACGTGATCTCCTAACAAATGTCCTAAAGTGCTGTAGTGGTATTCCACAACTACTTCGTAACGCTGCTGCGGTCTTTGTGAAAGTTGGGTTTGAGGCTGGTGCAAATCGCATTGCTTCTAGTCCCCTTGAGCGGCAATTAGAATTGCTGAATACTAATAAGATGAGCCAAAAAGAACGTTTTAATTACTGTCTTGGCATTTGCTTTGATCGCCTTACTAAAACATCTCAAGATGCGTTGATGATGATCTCCGTGTTTCCAGGTTTCTTTTCACTTGAAGTGGCTGCAACGGTTTTCAAGGCCATCATTTCAAACAAAACTGAGCTTGAGGATGCGCTCACTGAATTGATGGATTTCAGCTTTCTGTGTTTCGACCAAGATCAAAATGCATACTATTTAAGTCCTGCCATGAGATCGTTTGCAATCTATAAAGCAACACACGAACCACCAACGTTAACCTCTTCTGAAAGCGACGATTGCTTTGGAACGGAACTAAGCCATACGTACAAGAGTGCCATCTCAAGATTTGTGTATTACACATTTGCTATCACGCTCAACATAGAAAATGATTTCTTCAGCAAACACAGTGCTGATGCCATCCAGAAGTACAGAGAGCAAGAGCCAAACCTCAGAGAAATAGCAAATTGGTTCATCTCGGATCGACTCTCCAACGATCCTGACATGAAGCGCCTCAGGTACTACATCATTGAGTCATTCATAGCATGTTACTTGGTCAACATCAAGGTGATGAGTGGGAATTTATTGAAGACCATCCTGCGTTGGTTTTTACGGTTTTGTCGAGAAGAGGAAGGCATGAACAGCACCCACGAATCAAAGAATGAAGGATCAAAGGATTGCGCAAAGAAGCAATACGTCGAATGTCTGACCTATGGCGGAGTTACATGCATCTTGGGTTGTCTCTGTGTACCACAGCTATGTCCAATTGCTCTGGATCAAGCACTGTGGTGCTTTAATGAAGTTTTGGAAGTGTTATGTACCCAAGCGAAGGCAACCTTGAAAATGCACTTCGAAATCCTGTCCACGTGTGAGTCCATGTCCAAGGGAGCCCAAACTCAATTCCTTCTTAAGTACGGCAAGTGTTTGGTTCGGCAAGGACGAAAGGCTGAAGGGCTGAAATTCGTCGAAAGGGGGATTGAAATACGCGAGGAAGTGTTCGAGAAATCAAAATCCACAAAAGATTGCGTTATGGTGGCAGTGGGATACAATGATCTTGCAAGTAAGATTTTATTCATTTTGCAGCGAACTGGATCACCTTTCTTGCCGGAACCTTACCTGCCATCTTGTCTTGTGGCATTTATGCAAATTAATTTATTGACATGAGAACCCACAAAAAACAATTTTGGACTGTAAACTAAACGTTTCATCAAGGCTCAACTGATTTTGAGTGCAGATACAGTTCAAAAGCTATACGTGAAAATATTGAGCTGAAATCGCTTTTTTGACGTTTTTTGTATCCTTTCCTTAATTTTTGTATATTGTTCTCCTGTACACGGACCTTTTGCTTTCACTGGGTGCAGGTTATCCTGTTCTCCACCCATGGCTACTGATCTGATATGGCTTACTGTCTTGTAGGTGCCCACAGCTATAATAACGATGCGAATGGAACAGCCATTCAAATAAGGCAAAGCAAAGTCCTACCTGTTTATGAAGAGCATCTTGGTCGACATCCATTCACAGCCAGTGCTCTCAGCCATTTAGCACATGACTTCCTAGCACTTGATTTCTACGAAGAAGCCCTCAAAGCATGCCAAAGAGCTTTGTCCTACAGAAAACGATTATTTGGCGAACACTCTGAAACTGCTCGTTCTCTGTTTGATAAGGGGCATATTTTGAGAAAACAAGGTAAGCCTATGTAAAAATTGACATATTTTGCTACTTGTTAAAATCATTGCATTTGGGAAAGAGWGGGAGGGTTGATGCACAGGTCTCAGAACCCAACCGTTCTATCCATCGCTGCCAAATGCAATCTATGAGGAAGGGATTTCAAATTTCGTTTCAATTGTATCACAATCTCGAGCCCAAAGTCTTCTCGGCTAATGTCAGCGGTATGCTGACGCCGGAAAGACTCTGGAGGAATCGACTGGATTTGCGACGCTTTTCCGTCGCAAATTATGCAAATTAGGTCAATTTTGTTTTTGCCGCTTTAGAGCATCAAAATGATAAAAAAAGAAGGAGGTTTAGCACACAACATAGTCAAGAAAAGGTATTTACACCTTTTTAAAAACAAAAATGTGTGAAAACATGTGTGGTTATGCGAGAAAAGGATGATTTTCTTGACTAACAGGGCGAGCGCGCGCTGGCGACTTGGAAAACCGACTTGAAAACAATGCGCGCTCGYGTCATTTTCAGCCAATCACGAATCGAGAAAAAATTGTTTCCTCCAGAGTCTCTCACGCATTGACATCCGCTGGATGGCAAAAGTGCGGGCTCTGGGTACGAGATKGATTGTATCATTACAGTGGCAGTTTGGTGGTCTGGATATCCTCAGATTATGTATTATTCAATTCACGCATCTTTGATCTGTTCGATTTTGTCAGTATCCTGTCCTTTTATCATGATTGCCAAGCTGATAAATCGATTATGTGATGTTAGACTTTTTTTTCCAGCGGGTCAATTTAAAGATCATGGTGACAAGCAGTCATCGAAACTTAAAGATGCGCTTTTTTACCTGAAAGAAGCACTTGAAATGCGTCAGCATCTTGCATTCACATCTAAAGAAACGGCAGAAAATCACGTGGAAATAGTTCGCGTGTTGAAATCCTTAGGRCGAGAAGAGGAAGCAAAAGAGCACGAGGAAAAAGCAGGAATTTGTATGAAGCAAGTAGACTATTCTCACATGGGTGAATGCATGGATTAGTCAACAATTTAAGTCATTTTCGTCCACACACAGTATCATTCAAGGCCCTCGCTGGGTGGCATTTTGAAAAGCAACCGTTCCTGTGCCATCGAAGCGAGAAGACCAACGACTTCCTTCATGATAGTTTAGCTAGTGGTATTGCCATCAGCACAGACGGTAACTTGAACGAGAAGACTATTACTAATCCAGCTGTCCGCAGAAATAGACCTTGCGAACTTTTTCTCTTTTTCCTCTGACAAAGGAGCAACGTATAAAATATTATCAATTTTTCTTTTTTTCACTTTGTATTTATAATTCTCTCACAATTGTTTTTAAAATCGGTTGTTGAACGACCTTTCTAGAWTATGTAGATATCGTTTGATAGCACAACACGAAGCACACACTACTGTATTGTTATTTCGATTTTATGAGATTTTCAATTTTTCTGAGCMTACTCATCGCTGAATTTATGCGACTTGACATTCACATATTCACGTTTTTATTGAATAGTTTTCTAGCATATTTACATTAGCTTTAAAAAAATTGAATTTCCTAATGTTTTGTAAAGAAGTTTTTATAGTCAGTAAACATGGCTGCTGGTCGTGCTCGAAGAAATAATTGCATCTCCTGCAGGCATGTCTCTGCTGAGAGACCAGGACGTAGTACCAAGATAATATTTRTATTCTGATAACATCAATATTCTCTTTTCAAAAGTGGATTCCTATTGATGACARCGTAAAATGTTGTACAGCGGTTTGTACAAAATCTGAAAATTTCAACAATATATGTAAAATAGATTAGGCACGAATAAACCAATGTATCGTTAGTCAGATGAATTTGAATATAGTGACAATAATTTTCATCTACCTTGAAGTGAGTCAGTATCTTTTAATTTTTTACCGACAGGAAAAAAAAAAATGAAAAAAAAGCTTAAGCTATTTCACGTAGAAACGGAATCAAATATTTACTGTACAAACCTCYCGATACCCGCCATTTTAGATCACGGGAGAAAGGTAGCTTTCATGGTACAAGCAATGTATGGTTAAAGGGGATSAATGTTATCTTCAAGTTATCTTCTGTGTTTAGAAGTGGTATATTGTTTCAAGAGCGTCTGTCGGACTCTGGTACAACTACTAGACCCTGACAGCAGAGTTGACCTGTGGCACTAAACGTATACAGCTTACTATAATCGACGGAACAACTGAGAGATCCGTTATCCCTTATTCAGAAATATATGAATGTAAATTTACAGATTGTACAATTTTCTGAACATAAGGGATAACTAATAACAATTTAATAAGGGATTGTGTCTCTTCTGGATAAAAGAAAACAATACTATTCACGCAGGAGAATTCCTAGGTGACAATTGAAKCGTTTATGGGTAATATTCTTAACTTCGGGGTGTTTTATTAGTCGGGCTCAAGCCATAGGCTAGGCCGACTTCAGTTTTAACTTTTTTTTCTCAGTGTCATGGTGTTTTGGGGATACGAATTTCATCTTATCTTGTTAAAAATCTTTCGCAAATCCAGGTAATTTCTCAATTTTCCAAAATAGCYAACCCGACTTCACGCTCCAAGAGCATCTAGTTATCTTAGTTATGAATAGGTGCGATGATGACGTCATTTTGTATAGAGATCGGAGGGCAATCGGAAGACAAATTTGTGACCTGGCCTAGGGAACGAGTAATGACGATCTTCCGTGTATGTAAAAGTTCAGTCTAGGAAAAACAGAGAATTTTGATTTGGCATTGGAAAACAAAAAGCGTTTGTCATCTAGATTTTTGAAAAGGAAGCCAGGCTCTGTCAAGCGCCTTCTCTATACTGACTAGATCTACTATACTGATCTTTCTAAAGTATAAAAAAATGATTGCGCTGCCAAGAAAAGAATTGACCGTTAGAAGCATTTCCGCATTTACAACTCTTGGCTAAGTAACTCTTGGAGTGAAAAGTATTTAAAAAGAAAGATGGCTTCGATAGACTCGAGCTCATCAGGTTAGTAGTAGCCGACGTTTTGCATCATGTTTTGTGAAATTTGAGTGTTTATCAATTCGTCCCCGAAAAAGTAAAGCTTATAGGCTTAAGTTATGTTTTAAAAATTTAAAATTTGTGTTTGATTGCGAATAAGACCTACTAATTTTTAAGCTTAATGTATCCACCATATCTGTATTAATTAACAATCTATTCTGCAAAGTCAAAGTTATTCATTCGACATTTGCAAACCTCATCACGCTTTAGTGCAAATCGTTCTGAATTTGAATATTTTTGCACTAGAACTGAGACTTTCGTGATGACTATATTTGTCTTTCAAATTGATGAATATAACCGCATGGCACTATGGGATACATTATATAAAAATAAGGGAAAGTTATAGCGGAGCTCCCCCGCGCGAGCGGAGCACCATAACTAAGGAAAAATGGTAAACCCATGAGGTTGAGTTTTGATCAACCGACACAGGAAGCCCAGTTGTCCGTACGTACGTACGTCCGTGTACATCGCGATTCTGATTGGCTACTTTTGAGAAGGCGGGAAAAGGAACCGCGCTCGCGTCAGTTTTTGAAAGCAGCTTTTTCACCACAACGACTCCATTTTTGTCCTTTCAAATACTTTACTTCTGCGCCAAATGTCGGAAAATCAACGGGTAGAAGTAAAGTATTTGGCCCGTCTGGAAATCAGGCTTCTAAAGTAGAATACGCATTTCTTAATAAATTGGCCGGAAGGTTAAAAAAAGGGATAGTGACTTTGTATTTGAATTGTATTCTTTCATCTCTGAAGATAGATGAAACTTAGATTGGTA